GATTTGAGAACATCTATTGGTGACAAATTCAAAGCTAATGGTACTAATACTACAAAGTTTGTTGTCTCAAGCATAATCAAGGGAAATGCTAAATTTCAGTTGGTAAAAATAAAGATATAATTTTTTTTCCTGTCCAAATTTATGGATCCCCTGAATCTAGCTGACAGGTCTGTGGACCACAAGGTAACTTCTGGACTAGGAATCAACTAAGTAGCTTCTGACTCTGACATAGTTGGAAGTTGGATTTCATAGGATTGTCTAAATGAGACAGGCAGACAGAATAAGGGTCATCTCAAAGGACTTAAAAACAGCATACTACAGGATCACAGCCATATCAATGTTTATAGCAGCACAATTCACAATAGCTAAATTGTGGAACCAACCCAGATGCCCTTCAGTAAGTAGATGAATGGAAGGGGAAACTTTGGTACAGATACACAATGGAACATTACTCAGTATTAAAAGAAAATAAAATCATGGCATTTGTAGGTAAATGGATGGAGTTGAAGAATATAATGCTAAGTGAAGTTAGCCAATCCCCAAAAAACAAAGGCCCAATATTTTCTTTGATATGAGGATGCTGACTCATAATGGTGATGTGTTGGGGGGAGCATGGGAGAAAATGGAGGATCTTCAGATAGGGCAAAGGGGAGGGAAGAGAAGGGAGGGGAAAGGGGGGTAGGAATGACGGTGGAATGAGTTAGACATCATTACCCTAGGTACACATGTGAAGACATGGTATGAAAATTCTTTGTGTACAACCAGTGATTTGAAAAATCGTGCTCTGTATGTGTAATATGCAATGAATTGCATTCTGCCATCATATATAACAAATTAGAATAAATAATTTTAAAAAAGAATAGGGGCCATCTGGGGAAATGGGACAAAATTTTACAATCTTAATAGCTGGCACCAGAGTGTCTCTGGTGGAAACACTAGAATTGGGAGTTGGGGGTCAAGGAGATCACAGAGGATACTAGTGAACAGCAAGGAGACTGGAGCCTGAGGGGATGGAAATTCGATGAGAGATTGGTCTAAGAGAAAATAAGAGAGGTGCTGAGGTCTCCCTCTACTTCTGATGAAAAAAAGGAGACACTATGGCCCAGTGAGATGCTCAGCAAGTCTGAGCCAAAGAGGTCATAAGAACCACGTGTGGGCTCCGGGTGTGGCTCAGAGGTAGGGTGCTTGCCTCACGTACACGTGCCCTGAAGAGGGTCCTCAAGCAGCTACTCCCTATGGGCCTATCTAGTGACCTGCCCCCTCTCTGTGCCTCCTGGCCTGAGCCCCCCACCTCTGAAGACACTTCAGCAATGTGAAGACTGAGGTCTGAGCCCTCCTGTTTTCCTTCCTCTTCCTGTTCCCTCTGCAGACTGGTGTTCAGTCGGCCACAGTGGTTGTCCTTTGGAGACCCTCCATTTATCAGTGTTCCCCTTAAAATAGAGTGTCTAGAGCTGAGGTCGGAGGGCAGGACAGGGCCAGGGCCATGGGACTGTTGCCTCCTTTCATCTGTACCTCCAGCTGCTGTCCCTGAGGACATTACTCGAGCTCATCCTGAGCTGGCCTGCTGCACTTGACCATGAGAAAGGCTAGCCCCTGAGGACAGATTAAAACCTCTACAACCCCTAGAATCACCACGATCTCTTCTCCACCAGCATGTGATGGAAAATAAAAATAACAAATCGCTAAAGAAGTACAAAGAAGTAGAATAAAGTTCTGCCTTCTCTCAACAGCTATTTTTGTATGATTTTTGAAATGACAAGCCCCAATTTTAAAAACTTTTATTATAAAATATTTCAGATACCCAAAAGGTATAAAAGATCATTAAAAACAAATCAAGAGGGCGGGGGATGTAGGGTAGAGAGTTTGCCTAGGATCCTCAAGGCCCCCAAAAAACAAAACAAACAAAAACATACAAGTATACACTTTCCACTCAGCTTAAGACATAAAATATTATGATATGGTTTGTTAGTGTTACTTTTCAAGGAAAAAATATCTGTTTTACTGGAACTTGGAGCCCATAGTTCTCAAATTTGCCACACTTTAGATTCTCCTAAAACTTTTGAAAATCCTTTCACCCAGTTTCCAAACAAACCAACACAATCAGAGCCACTAGGAGTAAATATCAATATTTCAAAAACTCAAAGAGATTCGATTGCAATGTGCAGCCAACTTTTAGAATCATACCAGGAACAGAGGTTAATGTCGGAGGTGGGGATGGAAGCAGGTGGAATGGAGTCCTGTAGATCTGGTGGCAGTGGGCTCTGTTTCCTGTCCTCTGACATTTTCTTTGGATTCTCTGTGGATCCTCCCAGTTCTGAAACCAGCAGACCTTCCCACATTTTTGGGAAGAGACTGCCATCTGCTGGTCTGCTTGAGGAAAACGCAGTAGAGCAGTGGTTGGGAAAGGACATTGAGAGAAGTATTACGGGTCACAGCACACAGTTTTTTGTTTCGTTTGTTTGTTTTAATTGTTTTATTTTAATTAGGTCTAGATGACAGCAGAATGCATTTTGATTCTCTGAGGTACTGCAGGGCATTGCCCCACGGCAGCTCTGGAAGGAAGGCAGGGCCAGGTGAGGGGCGTCATTTTCACCTGGTAACTCTATGCAGAGGTGGGGTGGCATAGTACAAGTGGGGTTCCCAGGCATCTCCAGTCCCCCAAAAGGATAAAAATTTTAATTTTAAAAAGCAATGTTTGGGGAAGATAATAAAAGGATAAATGGTTTTTTAAGATTTAAAAAAAAAAAAGCTTTCATTCAGAAGGAGAAGGTAACAGAAGATAATGGACACCTGTCACCATTTCCCGGTGGAGATGGCATTCTCTGTTTGATCCAGAGATTGCATCGTCAGCCCCTGTGGCAGTTCATTCCTGCAGGGACGTGTTTGCTGTTCTTTGTCTTGAACAGATCTTTCTTGCCCAACACTCGTCATCTGAGTAAATATTTGTTCATTACAGGTCTCAGTAAACTGCGACCTCAGTTCCACCAGGAAGCCTTGCTTGGATGTCCAAATCTCCTATACCATGTGGTCACCTCCTGGCTCTCTGCTCGGTACAACCTGTTTACTTGTTTACTGTTTACTTAGCCTCACAAGATTCCAAACTCCATGAAGGCAGGGATATCATTACATCCCTAGCACCTATCCCAGTGCAAGAAACAGAGGGAAATATCGCTTCACGGAATTAGATTTTCTTATGGAATTTTGGAATATCAAACACTATAATTTTTTTTAACCATATAATTTATTTTTATTTTTTTAGTCATACATGACAGCAGAATGTATTTTGACAATATAATGCATACATGGAATGTATATACATCAATCATATTGTCTATTCTGCTGCCCTTCCTATCCCCCCTACTCCTCCCCTCCTCTCCCATCCTTTCTCTCTATCCAATCTAATGTGACACGCTTTTT